ATCCTCATAATCTCGAAGACAGTTGATAACTCGTTTTTTTCATTTGATTGAGAGATAGCAGTATTACATAGTATGGATCTTCATGGGAAAGTGCTGACCTGGCTAATTGATCAGCCCTGTCACATAGTGATATTCCTATATGAGAGGGTATCCAGTATAGTGATAGTGACACTTGGGTACCCCGTTCTGATGATTTAGAAATTTGGTGAAGGATATTCTTAGTTACCATGTTTTCTGAAGTAAATGCAGTAAACCTGTGGAGAGCGCCTTGGCTGTCTGTAAAGACAGCCAGGTTTCGCTGCTGCTCACTACCTTTCTTAATGGCATGATATATAGTTACTGACTCGGCATCAGTTGTGCTTGCCCAGTTGGAGATGCACACACTTTCTTCAAGATCTATATCAGGAATTAGCACACCAATCCCTGTTGCTCCATGAGGATCAGTGGAGGCATCACAGTAGATTGCAAGTGGGGGCGTAGCATGAGGGGGAAGTAGAATGCCATCTATATATTTCAAGTAGTGAGCTTTTAGTTCCGTTTTTGAAGCCATAGATTTAGACCCTATTAGTTTATCAATATAAGCATGTACATGAGTTCTGTGCCAAGGAGCAGTAAGTACTGTATCTGGAATATTAATAGCTTCGTTGTTCCTTACATTGAAGAACATGATAGTATGAGCAGTTTTAGTTTTCCATTTTATGTTGGACTGTATGAGATTGGAGTATCGAGGCCGGGCATGCCTGACTCTATAATTTATCTCATTTGATAGGATACTGGAGATTTGTGGTCTGGGTAGAAACTGCAGGAGTCTGATGCCAAGTTTGGTGTTAACTTGGATGACACGACTGTGAATAATTCTCATGGCCTTATTCTGTAAAACTTCAAGGGGTTTGAGGGCACTCGGTGGCAGCATACTAAGAACTGAGCTTGCATAGTCTATCATAGACCTAACAAGGCAACGTTCCTTGATGTTTTGAACAATATTCTTGGCAAAGCGTGAGTTGTGGGACATGAGGTGGGGAGCAGCCACCATAACACCAAGATATTTGTAGGTGTCAGTACTTGCAATAGTTTGTCCACCTAGCCTTGGAATGTAAGGTAATCTACGAGATCTGGAAATATGCTTAGTTTTGATTGGGTTGATTATGAGACCAAGGGAGGCACACTTTTTGCTGAACCCCTGTATAACGTAATCCCCCCTATCAAACACCTGAATAAGAATGTCATCAGCATAGGATGTGATGCTGCATATGTTTCCTAACTCATCATTGAGCTTGCAAAGAGAGTGCATAAGTATATTACAGTGTTGGGGACAATACTCCCCCTTGTGGAGTGTCTAATTCCAATTCGCTATAAGCACTATAGATGCCTTGATACCACACTTTTGTTCTTCTCAAAGATAGATAGTCCTGTATCCATAGCAGAAGCTTGCCCTTAACTCCTAAAAGAGTTAATTCATGGAGGATTGCAGTAGGGGAGGCTCTGTCGAATGCTCCCTTAAAGTCTAAAGTAAGAAGACTGTACATTACGCCCATTGAGAGAAAGAGAGAGAGAGAGAAAAAAAGGAGAAAAATCCAAAAGTTATCACCATTTACCTTAGTTTTCAGCTTTTGAAAACTAAATCTTATTCATATATTGCCATTAATGAATCTACTACTACCATTTGGATTATAAACCCTATTCATTAATAGATATAGTCCATTTTTTTTTTTATCCTTTAAGCTACTTCTTGTTTACTTACACGATTTGCCTTTGCTTCAAGCATGAACGAAAAAGGGATTACTTGATGGTACGCAATGTCCATGTAATCTCTTTAATCTCACCCGCTTGAAGCCCTACAACTGCCCCCTTCGACTGCCCTCTTCCACTTCCCTCTTCTTCCTCTTCAACTTCTTCCGCCTCCTCCGCTGCTCCTGTCGCTCTCCCTTCCAGTCCGGGATGATAATAGCATTAGAATAGGATCCTAATAGGTATTATATATATATATATACATATATATATATATATATATATATATATATGTGTGTGTGTGTGTGTGTGTGTGTGTGTGTGTGTGTGTGTGTGTGTGTGTGTGTGTGTGTGTTGTTATCACTATAGCGTGTTTTAGGTCTACCTTTTTTTTTCTCTTGCCGTAGACACAACCTGTTAGAAGATCTTTTCCAACAAATTTCTTCTCAAAATAGCATATTTTTCGTTGCCAGCCTGGTTACCCACTGGGCAACGCGCTCCTTGGTAGTCCACGATGTGGCATGAGTTTTTTCTTTTATGTACTAACATCATGGAGGATGATCGGGAAGAATAGCAGAGTAGGGTTCCCAGTACACTTTCTCTGCCGCAGGTTTCCTTTACTGGAAGGTGCATCTCTGTCATTTCTTCAGTAGGACTGAGTACTTGCCAGATGTACGTGCTTGTTGAAGTGCTTGTTGCACTGAATGAGCCTCCAACATGCATCCATTGCCCTGTTGCAACAGTTTTGGTTTTACCCCAACCAAAGGTGGAAAATGGGTACTATGCCTTTCCAAATGGCAACCCAGGGTGCAGTTTAAAGTCTTAACTAGGACATATATATATATATATATATATATATATATATATATATATATATATATATATATATATATATATATATATATATGTATATATATATATGTATATGTATATATAAACGCATTCGCGATGAGATTTATGAACACGCAAACAATTGAAAAACGCGGCTGAAATTGCATGCGAATCGACTAAAATCAGTCTTACGCCGAAATCAAGCACTGAGGATCAACAACATGGGCATCATGAGGCGCGTTTCTGACCTTGCTTTCTGGAGTCGTGCGGATAAATTTAAGATATCGAAGCAAAATCTAAGTTTATGACGTGTGTGTATGAGAAGCCACGTAAAGAGCGACGTTGGCTTGGACGGTGGGCGTGCAGGTGACTTTAGAGAAGCTGTCAAATGAACTGATTCCATGCCGGTAGTGAGTCATTTGTTTACCAGTAGTGCTCTGTTGTCATGTAAACTAAATCACTCACAACACACGCTACAAATACATGTGTGTGTGTGTGCGTGTGTGTGTGTGTCTGTGTGTGTGTGTGTGCGTGTGTGTGTGGGGGTGTGTGTGTGTGTGTGTGTGTGTGTGTGTGTGTGTGTGTGTGTGTGTGTGTGTGTGTGTGTGTGTGTGTGTGCGTTATATATATACGTGTGTGTGCATATATCAATTCACGCGCGTGGACACGGGAGATCTGTATTGTTCTACATGCCATATACCGCGTGACATCATGAGCGACACGGATATTAATATTGATCTTAATAATACAGACGGTTTGACATACACAAAGAAAAACACAGAACACAAGCTCTGTCAAGGAGGAACGGCATTGAAGAGATTTGTGACAAGACTTTACTGAGACCTTGAATATGAGTACATGAAATATCTCGGTGACTTTGCAGGAAAACTTAAGTCGTTTTCTATTCAGTTTGTGATTTCTGGTCGTCCTTTCGTACAAATAACTTTGTCATCTTCATAAGCCTTCTTTCATATTCAAGGCTTCAGTAGGTCTGTCTTGTCGGCTACGTTTCGAAACATTACAATCGAACCTTTGTTCTGTGAAGCATTCTGTTTAAGGGAACGAGCGTTGTGTGTATGTATGTATTATGTATATGGATAGAGTTAGAGAGATTGATATAACACACACACACACACACACACACACACACACACACACACACACACACACACACACACACACACACACACACACACACACACATATATATATATATATATATATATATATATATATATATAGAGAGAGAGAGAGAGAGAGAGAGAGAGAGAGAGAGAGAGAGAGAAAGAGATCCTGTGCACCTGAGATAAAAAAATATTTAAAAAAAAATTACTAATATCTCAAGATATGCGCGATGCCTCTGGAACAGAGCCCGACAACATGAAACACAGCTTCAAGTAGGTCGACAGTGCCACATCTCCAGAAAGTTTTTTTTTTTAACTCTCTAAGGATAATTTGCAATGAGTACCTCGCCTCTCCTCTATGACGCTGATCATCAAACACTTGCACCTCTCGGGTAGCGGAGGCGTCCCTGGCCTGTATGTCACGCACTCTTCACCCCCCCCCCCCCCCGCAGTTTCCTGATCTCGCTTTTCTACCTTTCTTTCCTTGTGTCACAACCCGGTGGTGGTGGTGGTGGTGGGTGAGACGGTGATGAAGAGAGATAGCGGATCAGGGGGTGGCAGAGATGGTGGACTCTTGGCCGACCATGTGGGCCTCTCGCCGCCTAGCGTCACTGCTTCGCTGTCCCTTTTCCTTGAGATTTTCTAGTCTCTTCATCTTCCTTTTCCTCTTGAATCCCTTGGCCTCGTTGGCACTTGGAAGTATGCAAGGTTGCAAGCGAGTGCGCGTGCTAGAGAGAGAGAGTGAGAGCACAGGCCTAAACACCTATTTAGGCAGTGATTGAGCTGCCAACGGCCACCAGCACTATCATACCCTGTAGAGACGCATCCAATAATGTATGAAAAATAAAAATGATCCAGTATGTACGTTCGCCTACACTCGTATCGGCGCGGTCCAATTACACCTCTGTCCCTTTAAACCTTGAGGACGCGTTCCATAGTTCGCTTAGAGGCTCTGCAGTATTTTAAGATCTTTGGAGAATACAAATCTGGCCAAATTTCAGTTCTGATAGTTGGAAGGTTATTTGGCCCTTTTTTTGGGGGGTGTCTCCCCTTAATCATCAAAGAATGCGTCATACCCTATTAACACAGATTATAAATGATTTTATTATTGCATTTCTTATTCATTTAACATTTAGTAACATCCATAATTGTCAGCATTCACGCAGCACAGGGTTGTATGCACAGATTATGAATGATTTTATTATTGCATATCTCAGTCATTTAACATTTAGCAACATCCATATTTATCAGCATCCACGCAGCACAGGGTTGTATGCAAATGTTAATCTCTTTTTCTCTCTCTCTCTTCCTGGACAGATTGAAGATCCTGACGTAGATCCAGAAGTGACGCTCCTGACTTATCTGCGCAACAAATGTATCCTTTTCTTATCAGTTTAATTGTTGTTATTCTTTTTATTCTATTGTACTGTGTTTCTTTAATACTTCTGTCTAATTATAGGGATGTGTTTGTTGGTGTGTTTCTAGTTGTTTATTGTATTTTTTTTCGTTGTGCTTTCAAAAATGATTCTAGTTTATTCTTGATACTTTTTTTTTAAAATTTTTATTGTTCAAAAAGACTTTCGTCGATTTTCGTATTTCTTTGAAGGAAAAGAAAGGGAAAAACAGGGGGAAAATTAACACATAACCTATATCTGGAAAAATAACGAAACAAGTATTTTTTCTCTCTCTCTCTTTCTTTCCTATCTCTCTGTCCCGGTTTACTTGTAAGCTTAAGAAGCGAAGGTTAACCACTCTGATCTCGACAAACAACCCCCCCCTCCTGTAGATACCCCTCCCTTCCCTCCTCCCTCCTCCCGTCTCCCCTTCCCTTGGACTACCCCCTCTACCCCCTCCCGTTAGCCGCTCCTGCTTACCCCTCCTCCCTCCATCCTCCTTCCTCCTCCCTCCACTCTTCCTCCACCCATCTCCTCCTTCCCTCCTCCCTCCTCCCTCCACCCTCCCCCTCCTCGCTCCTACA